GAAGCCGCCTGCGGGGCGCGCGAGGGCTGCAGTCGCTTTGCCATGAAGTGAGCCGGCTTCCTGTGGACTTAGCGGGGTGGGGAAATCCGGAATCGCTCCGGGGTTTCAGGCTGAATCGGCGCAGGACGGCGGGAATCGTTCTGGGGTTTAGATAGCGGGGAAGAGGGGGCTGGGGATGGGAGAGCCGCTTAGTTGGCTTTGGACTTGGAAAAACAGCAAGAACGCTAGTTCCCATTCTGGATCAGCCATCCTGGAAAGCTGCATTTGATGGGCGGGTAAAATAAACCATTTTTTCCCAGTCACTGAAAAGAATTCTTCAAAGGAGTCACTGGCTGGTAAATTATAGTAGCTTTCATCCTGGAGTGAATTGTTATAGCCAAGCTATAAACCACTGCGTGTAATGGAAATGCTGATACAGCTTGTATCCATAGGACCACCTAAACACGATGACAGCAGAACGGAATAGTTGTTTGAAAATGATTAAGTGACAGGAAAATGTGTATTGTTGGCATACACATATAACATTTTGTATCCCATTTTTTTCTACACATGATTTCATTTAAAGTCAAGCTGTTTTTCCCCCTCTTTTTAGGCAGAAAGATAATACAGTGAGAACAAAGTGAAGTTTATGCTAGGCTAAAATCCCTTGATTAAGTCTTCCAGCCCTTTGAACTCCATAACTAAAAATGAAGACGGTGTTTATGGTTGCAGAGAAGCCTTCTCTGGCTCAGTCTATTGCCAAGATCCTCTCAAGAGGTAAGACAGAAAGCTTGCTAATCTCTTCAGTCTTTTTTGTTTCTCTTAGAAAGGGTATGTTTGTACTGTAAGAAATAAATTTATTAAAACACATATGTGTATCTCTTTGTTTGGAAGTAAAGCAATTTACTAATTGCTGCATATTACAAAGACTACTAGATTTCAAGGAAGGTGGAAGCTAAAAAAAAAAAACCCTACTATTTGGATGCAGATGTTAATCTGAGCTGCCAGCTGCAGATGAAACTGGATGACATTCAGCATTTAAAAGGTTGTCAATAGAACTCTCCTCCATCTTTCCATTTGCTGCTGCTTAGTTGACTGGGTTTTTCTTGCTTGGAAAACCAACAAGAATGCTACTTTCCTTTCTGAGTCATCCAACCTGTAAAGTTGCATTTATTGGTGGGAAATTTTTCAACAATTTGAAACAAAGTATAAACCTGTGTGCCAGGAGACTGATTTTGTTACTTAATATAATGTTTTTACTGTTCTATTGTACTGTTCAGAGATTCTAAGTAAGTAGTAGATCCCTTGCTCTGAGGTTTTTCTGGCTTAGAGGCATGAGCTGGTATAGTACAGCTCTCTATATATAATGCAGAGTGTGTTCATTATACTTTGTGTTGATCCACAGGATAAGTTTGGGACATGTTAAATGGAAGGTTGTTGCAAATATATAGTGAGATGTTAATAATGGCCCAAATGAGGGAGTTCGCAAGAGAGAAACTTGTGTAGAGAATAGAAGGGGGTTCAGGAAAATCTGGAGATACAGAGGAAAGACAGAGTTTCATGATGCAAGAAACAAGATTACTTTCAGTATTTTAATGTCTGTTCATATTTATTTTATTTTTTTGTACAGGAAACATGTCTTCTCATAAAGGGCTGAATGGGGCATGCTCTGTTCATGAGTACACTGGATCATTTATGGGGCAGAGTGTCCACTTCAAGATGACATCTGTGTGTGGCCATGTGATGACTCTGGATTTCATAGGTATTGTCTATTTGTTGTCTGTTTGATTTTGAGCAGTTTGCAACTTTTTTAAAAAAAAAACAGCACTGATGCAAAATTAACTGTGATTAGTAAAATCAGAGTCACTGCTTCACTGTAAATTGGATAAGAGAAAGGAGTTAAGTCAAAGTATAGTCTTCAGATTAAGACATTGTCTAGATTTGGAAGCTCTAAGTTTCATTCCTGATATTGCAACAGACTGTGTGATCTAGGGCAGTGTTCTCATCCAGGTGTCTTGATCCTCGGTGTAGGGAGGGACAGGGGCGCAGCAGGTTCCAGAGACATCCAAGCTGGGCCAGCATTAGACTTTCTGGGGCTCAGGGCAGAAAGCTGAAACCCTACTACTGCATAGTGCTGAAGCCCAAGGCCTTGAACCCTGCCACCGATGCTGAAGCCAAAGCCTGAGCAACTTAGCTTCATGGAGCCCCAGGCAATTGCCCTACTTGCCTAATGCCAGCCTTGGCATTTATATGCAGAAAACCAGTTGTTGTGGCACAGGAGGACTATGGAGTTTTTATAGCATGTTTGGGGAAGAGAAGGGGATCAGAAAGAAAAAAGTTTAGAACATCAGATTTTAGGGCAAATCACTTATCTTCTCTGTGCGTTCATTATTTTATCTGCAAATGGGGAGATGAGTCTAAATTTTCTAATGTTTTCAAATACTAAGATTCTTGGATGCAAAATATTATTAAAAGGGCCTGGTGTAAAAATGTGATGGAATATTCAAAGAGGTATGTAATGGCTTAAGTGCATGACTAGGAACTCCTTGGATTTTAATGTTGCCTCTCACTGACTGTGACATAGAGATTGTCATTTGACAACTGTTTTTCCATCTGTAAAATGAAGATAATACTTAACTACCTCACAGGTGTTATGAGGAGTAAATAGTATGCACAGTGCTTTGAAGATGTCCGACAGTATGTTAGTGCTAACAGTTACAATCAAGAATGACTGAGATATGGAAAACAAAAGAAACAATATAATGGAGCCCAACAGATTATACAGGAGAAACAATGAAACTGACTATTTATAAAGGACTGTAAAAATGCTCAAAGTGAGTAAGTTGCAGAAATAGAGGAACATAACTTTTTTTAACTCCTCCCTCTAATGTTTCAGTTATAGTTACTTGTCACAAAACAAATTTCCTTTAGAAATGTGTTTTTGTTGCTATCCCTTTAAAATATGACTGATCTCAATATAAATCAAAGTTAGAGGCCATTGCAGCACTTGGTGGAGAAGAATGAAGCACTGAACTTTCTAAAAGAATGCCATTTCTATAGTCAGCATACTATGATTAGCTTTGCAAGCTATGTCTTTGTACAATAAATGTTTTATTTAAGGTATTTAGAACTGTTTCCCATTTCAGGAAAATATAACAATTGGGACAAAGTGGATCCAGCAGAGCTTTTTAGCAAAGCCCCTACAGAAAAGAAAGAAGCTAACCCCAAATTGACTATGGTGAAATTTTTACAGGTATTCTTTGAGATGTATTTTAAACTGTTTTGGGATTTTTTTTCAAATGGTTAGTGTTCTCTTTAACTACAAGCCTGACTAAATGGACTCTTGTACATTTCAAAGGAGGTATGCGGAAGTGCCTATCGACCAACTTGACTAGTAAATTAGTCGTTCCTTAACATCCCTAGATCACGGTGCATAATCAGCTCCACATGAGCTCCCATGTGGTGCTGTGGCCACAAGGGCTAATGCAGTCTGTGGATGAATAATAAATGGAATCTCAAGCAGGAATAGAAAAATCATCTTCCTTATTTGGCACTAATGCAATTACTGCTGGAATACTGTTTCCAGTTGCAGTGTGCACAGTTCAAGAGGGATGTAAAATCTCATTTAGTTGAGTAACCGGTTAAACATATTGTTTAACCAGTTAATTAAAGGGGAACAAGCTTGGATGGGGGTCTCCAGCCCAGTTGGACCACTTTCCCACCATTCCTCCCACTAGTGTTGCCAGATGGTTGAACTAAAAATACTGAAAACACCTTCCCCCCTCTACCCTCCCCAAAAAAACCACTGGGGAAAAAATTCTGTTGGGGAAGGGGAGGAGACCAAAGTTGTTGAGCAAAAAAAATTAAATAATAAAACAGCATTAAACATCATGGCCCCTTTCAGAGTGAGTGCAGAATTAGAATAGAGATAGGAACAGGGGAGCGATTGAGCACTAAGACCCAGGGAAGGCGTTGCTTCCCCTTGGTCTTTAGGCTTTTTGCCGGCAACCATTTTGTGTTCTTGTTCAAGTCAGAACTTAACTTCCCTATGGAACCAGGTAAGCATGAGGTCTGGGGACAAGGGGCTGGGGCTGGGCCCAGGTGTTAGGGTTGCCAAGTGTCCGGTATTTTCACCTCCTGTCCAGGAAAAAAAATCAGAAAATACCGGACATTTTAGGTGTCTGGTATTTTCTGAATTTTTTTACCGTACAGGAGGCGAAAATACTGGACTGTCAGGGTCAATACCGGACACCTGGCAACCCTACCTCCCACTGTGTGGGAACAGAGCTAGCTTTTAAGCCAGCTTCTCCCAAACACCAGCTCCCTCAGAGCTACCTCCCCTCCCATGCTGCTGCATCTGTATCAGAAGCAGCAGCAGAGGGGGTGAAGGCAGGATCCAGTGCTCGTGTTTAACCAGTTAACTAATGAAACAGGATTTTACATTCCTTAAGGGAGACTGTGGTATTGATACTCTTTAAATAACCTTGTACTGAAACTCCATTTTCTACCAGGAATCCCAATTTGAAAAACTCTCGTCTCCTTTGTGAAATTTATATCCTATAGGGTAAAAATACACAAAAGATGGATTTCGTGGTCTGTGATGCACTTTTCATGGCTGTGAATTTGGTAAAACCCTAATTATATCATGGATCAATGCTCTGACATCAGTAACCAGCCTACAAGTATAACCCCACCTTGGCTTCCCCTAGCAGTTTCTTTCTTTTAAATAATCTCAAGATTTATGTTTCTGTAATAGTTAAATTCTCTTTCCTAATCCAAGCAACCTGTTTCCTCCAAACAGTTTCCCAGTGTGCCTTCTATTTTAGAGGGGAGGGCATCCATTGCTCCACAGCATCTTTCTTGTGTGCTGCCCCTCAGTTTCCAGATAGCCTTCACTTCAGATCCTGTGCACTCTTTTTTCCGTTTTCTCAATCTATGGTAATTCATGGTTATGTGTGTGTCTATCAGTCAGACTGGGTGGGAGCGGATGTCTCTTTTCAGTTTCAAGTTGTTTTAGGGCTTTCCCATTAACTTTAATTGTCCACTGTTGTCTTTTCTTGACTGGACAATGCTATGTGTTTCCCTTGACAGGCTCCATCCCTGTCCCTCTCAGCGGTATGATGAGGCAATGATGCTATACTTGCACTATAGTTACAGTTACAACTTTCTCCACACATGTGTTAGGGATGTTAAAAATTGTGTAATAGAGTAACCATGTAACTGCTGAAAATCTCATGCTGCAGGCTCTGCAGCATGAAGCTTAGCTTTATCCTGCAGAGCCGGCAGCAAAGTCACCCCAGAAGCGTGGCTACCAGCTCCTACCAGCCTGACTCCCAGATTAGAGGCTTCACTGTGGCAGTAAAGCCAGGAGTGGAGTGGGCAGCCCTCGTCTGTCTGGCTCTCCTTGCTGAAGCGAAGCCTCCTCACCATCGGTCAGCCTTTGCCCAGCCAGTTCCCAGGAAGGTGGCTTTGCTTCCCTGCCACAGTGAAGCCATCTTCCTGGGAGCTGGCAGAATGTAACCAATATTATTAACTGATAAGCATCAGCTTATTGGCTATGCGGTTAATTGGTTATACTCTGATATCTCTAATATGTATACAGGTTATAGTTATGAACAGGGCTCGCAAGGGGCAGCGAGCCCTGCTCGCCAGCCGCGTGGTTTGGCACGCTGCGCATGTGCAGACCGCGCTGCGCGGCTGCGCCAGCTTGTAATCTCGCCGCGGGCAAGTAGATTACACTAATTGTCGAGCCCTGGTTATGAATATACACCTATAGCTCATAGTGACCATCAGGTCTAGGATATTATAAGCTTTCATAAAAAAAAACCTTACTTGACATAGTTGTATACACAGTACCCAGTTGACTCAGTTCCTTATTCTTTGGGATTCTCCCTGTCTTCATCTTGAGGCATCTGACTCCTGACTAGGGATGTAAAATCGGTTAACCGGTTAAACATAATGATTAACCACTTAACTGATTAAAGGGAGGGGGTAAGGAGGCCTCTCCTGGTCAGCTGGGCTGGAGTGACACACCCCTTCCTGCTGTGGGCAGGGACTCCTCCAGCCAGCCAGAGCAGCCCCTCAACCCGTGGCAGGCAGGGAGCTGCTCCAGCACCCACTGGTTAACTAGAACCATTAAGCCTCACCGGTTAACCATACACATCCCTAATCCTGACTGTCACACAATGTTCTCTGCATCCCATATCTTGGGAGCATTGCCTTTCAGTGTGCTAGAATATCTTCTGGGAAGAGAGAGATGACTGTGCTTCCAAATCTGGGGCTATGGCTACTGTAAAGAGCTTGCCCTGTACTGAATGGTAAATTGTTGGCTTGGGCTAAAGCAGCCCCCCATACAATGAAGAGGACGCACCGCAGGCGTAGGGATTTGAACAGCTAGTTGACTACCCGATAAGCAAATGCTTATCAGGTAGTCAAGTAGTGACTTGACTAGTTGCTTCCCCCTCCCTTGCTACCTCCATCAGAGAGAGACAGTGTGGGGGTGGAGAGCCGGAGTCAGTACTCGGGGGAGCCTCCATGCTCTTAATACATTTAAAAGACAGTCACAGCAAGGGCTGGAGGGACCAGGCATGAGCAGGACCCCCACTGTGCCTCTGCCTTTTAAATATATTAAGAGCCTGGCAGCTCTTAATATATTTGAAAGGCAGGGTTAGCTCCTGGGGCCGGGTGCTAACCCTGCTGTGGTGGTGCAGTTTCCACCCTTATGGACTAATCAAGTAGTCAATGGAAATTCCATCAACTACTCTTTAGCTGATTAAATGCAATTTAACATTCCCTATGCAGGCAGAGGAGCTCCAGCCCACCTGCCCCATTTAAGTGGTTAACTGATTAAATGGGATTTTACATCCGGAACTGTGGCATAGCACTATTTGTGCAGATGCTTTAAGCTGAGGAGAGAGAGCTTTCCAGTCGACTTAATTACTCTAATCCAATTACTCTAATCCCTGCAAGCAGTGGTGGTTATGTCAAAGGGAGAATCTCGCTCACTGACAGCAGTGTCCACACTGGTATTTACATTGGTGCAACTTAAGTTGCTAAGGGAGGTGGCATATTCATAGCCCTAAACAACATCACTTACACTAACGTGAGCTGTAGTGTAGCTTTAGCCTCAGTCATTTTCACTACAGGAGGCAGCTCTTTGTTATCTACCAGGCCTTTTCTCTTTTATTGTTTTAAGTGGCTGTTTGGTTAGTGCTAAGTTTTTGACCCACTCGATTCAATTTTGCTGTTGCCTTCAGAATTTGACCTTTGATGTGTCACTAATTACAACAGGCACACAATTCACTCTATTTGTAGTATGCACATGCCCTGGAAAGTGAGATGTTTATTAAAGCTAGTTATGTCCTTTATTTATCACTCCCCACAAATGCAATATCCAGAAGGCAGCTGTATTGCTATGTGGGCAGCAGTTCTTTTACAAAATAAATTGTAACAATTAACACTTCTGCCCTTCGGAGGGTTGAGTGCTTTTTCAAGTAATGAATTAAGGCAGTGGTCCCCAGCCTTTTGCGGTGGCCAGGGGCGCTGCCGTGCATGTGCCACGCGGCCAGGGCCCGGGGCGCAAGAATGGCTTGGCCGACCCTGGTCACTCGGCGGGCATCATGTTGGGGACCACTGAATTAAGGACTGTGACTTCCTTGTGAGATAATGTAGTAGTATCCCAGTTTTTAAAATGTGAAAACTAAACACAGAAAGGTTAAAGCTCTAGCTCAGGAATGGGCAATAATTTTTGACCAGGGGTCACTTCAGAAATTTTTGAAGTAGCTCCTGGCTGCTCCAAAAGGGCTTGCACTTGCTCAGGTGCGAGTTGGTGGGGGCCAGGACTCTTCCGAGTTTCCCCACCCACAGGCCCTGATTGGTCTGAGGATGGGGGAATATGATAAGTCTTTGTCTCCCACACAGAGAGAACTGCCAGCTGTTCAGAACAGCTGGCAGTTTCCTCTAGGTACCCATGCCCCTGGTGGTGGGAGGAGTCTTAGCTCCCAACCCCTGCCCCAGGTCAATCACAACCTAGAGGAGGGGGAGTACATGAAGTCTCTAGCTCCCTGCTCCCACAGCTGGAGGTTAACTTTAAGTGCCAAGTCCCTTGCAGAGCAGGAGAAGACTTAGTGTGTTTCCCCTGCCCCCAAACCCTGATTGGCCTGGGGGTAGGAGGGAGTACATGAAGTCTATTGCTCTGTGTCCTCTGGCGTCCAGGGTTGACACATGTGCTCTCCTGTACCTAGGCTCTGATTGGTCTGGGGGCGGGGGAGATCCAGCCTCTAGAGGCCCTTTTGCCCATCCCTGGTCTAGCCCAAGATTATACACCCTGTTGCAGAGCTAGGAATAGACTCCAGATGTAATGAAGCTGTTGAAGTGTGCAGTCATTGAGAAATGCCAAATAAATAATAGTGATAGAAATGTAGCCGTGTTAGTCTGGTGTAGCTGAAACAAAAGACAGGACTATGTAGCACTTGTTAGTCTTTAAAGTGCTACATAGTCCTGTATTTTGTTTCAAATAAATAATAGGTCTTTGCTCTGAAATTTTTCTGGTTTAAAGGCATGAGTAATCACAGTACAATCATACATCAGTGTGTGTTCATACTAGCAGTATTAATTCACAGAACAAGGTGGGGGTTTTTTAAGACCGATTTTTGAAAAAGGAGAGGAAGATGGGTGATCCCAGATTTCCTGGCTCCCGGTCCCATTCTTTCACTACTGTACTCCTTTTCCCCTCTCCTACACCGCTTCTGAACCTCAAAGTGTCTTTTTCATAACTCATTTGAAATTTGAGTTCACAAATGTGGAAGATAAATAAACACTGAAAGTTAAGAACAGAAGGTAGTTTCTTGTCTATTGTTGGAAAACTTTAATTTTTTTATAGGTGGAAGGAAGAGGCTGTGACCACGTTGTTTTGTGGTTGGATTGTGATAAGGAGGGGGAAAACATCTGTTTTGAGGTAAGATTTCCATTACTATTTTATTATAAAACTATAACACATGTAGTTTTACTATTCATTGTGTTACTGGCCCATTTCTAGTTGTGAATATGTACTAATGGCTACACAAATTGGACTGGTAGATTTTTAAGTCATGGAGTAACTTGGTGAATAACTGGGACTTTCAACCTCTAGGGCACTAGCTGAAAATCATAAATCTGTCTCGTAGCTTTTGTATATGTGGTGAAGGTCCTTGTACATCTCTCAGTTGAAAGAGTTGTATTATTGTCTTTGTAAAAACTTTGCCACCTCAATGCTCTGTTAATTGGGAAGGTAGACATTTTAGTAGAGGCCACCTTACAGTGCACAAGAGGATATCATTTTGCAGGCTTACATCTGTATCTATCCCACAGCTATAATTAACACTACATTAGGGGATTTTGTTATGTTTTATTTAATGGGTTAAATAAACTTAAGTGTTCATCTAGGGATGTCAACATGTCGACGACTATATGATTAACCAATAAGCTTGGGCTTATCAGTTAATCCTGTTGACTACATGTATTTCCCGCTCCCCCTCCTTCCCCCCCTTACATCTGTATCTATCCCACAGCTATAATTAACACTACATTAGGGGATTTTGTTATGTTTTATTTAATGGGTTAAATAAACTTAAGTGTTCATCTAGGGATGTCAACATGTCGACGACTATATGATTAACCAATAAGCTTGGGCTTATCAGTTAATCCTGTTGACTACATGTATTTCCCGCTCCCCCTCCTTCCCCCCCCCCCCCCCCCCTGCTCCCTGTTTTTTAGTGGTGGGGGGGGGG